GAGATTCGAAAGGTATAATACCTTATTGCTCTTTATCGGCTAGACTCCTCACTTAAAGGTCTAGTTGCTCGATCGGCTATAGTTGTTATTTATTTGTATATAAGTCGATCTAAATTGATTAGGTTGCTATATGTAGCAAGCGCGGCTTTTATAGCGTTAAAGGTTGTTGTATAGAAGTGACTTAGTTCGGAATCACTTTTCCGTAAGAATAAGGAAAATCGATAGTATAAGAAGCGACTTGGTACGAAATCGCTCTTCCGTTATAAAAAGAAAAAGGGATCGTAATAAAAAGGTATCCTCGCTATAAAGTCTTAGCTTCTCTGTGATTGATCACTTAGTAGTAAATCAACTACTAATCAATATTAGATTGCTTTTAAGCGATTAAGAATATATTCGTAAGGTCGTAACGGTCGTTAAAGTACTTGCAATTGCAAAACACTCGATTGATAAAGTATCTGAATTCTGTCTGCTCTTTAAGACTCAAGGGAGCTGATTCCTTCTATATGATTAAAAGGAATCACGTGCACTAGCTAACTAATAGGTTTACTTGTCAAGTTGGGGGGGGGTCCCTTGACTGATGGCATGCTAAGCGAGGCATGCCAAGTGGCCCGTGAACCATGGTTCACGGGTGAGCTTCCCCAACTACTACTACTACTACTACTACTAGCTAGCTAAGGTCGATATGGATATACCGACAAACTTAAAGCTTCGTTTCGTATTATCCTTCGTTATCGTAAAACTCGTTCAATCTTAGCGTAAGAAAGCGTGCCGGAATAAGTTCTATAAGTCGTAATCCTTTAGCTCTTTACACTTCGCGTCTAAGAAGTCCTTTACTATTGCTCGAGCCGTAATCTCACTATCGGGCTTTGCGTATAAAAGCTCGTTTAAGTCAAATGAAATGCTCGACATCTTATCGTTTAGTCCTTCTGAAAGGCTTAAGAGCTTTAAGTATAGTGTTTCTTTTAGCTAAATAGCTAAGGGTTCCGTAAGTAATAATGAGATTCGAAAGGTATAATACCCTATTGCTCCTTATCGGCTAGACTCCTTACCTAAAAGTCTAGTTGCTCGATCGGCCATAGTTGTTATCTGTTTATATATAAGTCGATCTAAATTAGTTAGGTTGCTATATGTAGCAAGCGCGGCTCTTATAGCGTTAAAGGTTATTGTTTTTGAAAATGACTTGGTTCGGAATCACTCTTCCGTAAGAATAAAGAAAAATCGGTAATATAAGCAAGCGACTTAATACGAAATCGCTCTTCCGTTATAAAAAGAAAGAAGTATCGTATTAAAAGGTATCCTCGCTATAGAGTCCTAGCTTCTCTGTGATTGATCACTTAATAGTAAATCAACCACTGATCAGTGTTAGATTGCTTTTAAGCGATTAAGAATATATATTCGTAAAGTCGTAACGGTCGTTAAAGTACTTGCAATTGCAAAACACTCGGTTAATAAAGTATCTGAATTCTAACTGCTCTCTAATGCTTAAAGGAGCTGATTCCTTCTATATGATTAAAAGGAATCACGTGCACTAGCTAACTAATAGGCTTACTTATCAAGTTAGGGGTCCCTTGACTGCTGACATGCTAAGCGAGGCATGCCAAGTGGCCCGTGAACCATGGTTCACGGGTGACCTTCCCTAACTACTACTACTACTACTACTAGCTAGCTAAGGTCGATATGGAGATACCGACAAAGCTTCTTTTCGAGAAAGAATTATATTTAATATTTTTAAAAGATAGTCGAATATCGTGTTAATCTAAATAAGCATCGATTGCAAGTAGTTTAATATCGGGATTCTTTTTCTTGATATCGGTTTTAACTTAGCAACGTATCTCGGTCTTTTTGCTCGATATAAAGCTAATACGAACTTAACGTCTCTTTAAGCTTTTTCGGATAATTATAAGATAGACTTAAGTTTTAGCATATATCTTATTGCGTTAATTTTCTTTAGTTCTAAGTCTTTTAATAAGTTCTTTACTTCTTTTAATAGTTGTTTATACTTTTTTTTCTTGTTTTTCTAGATTTAAACTTTATCTTTATTTATCTTCGAGATCGTCTCGAACCTTTTGAATTTTAAACCTTGATAATCATCTTTTAAAAAGATCGTTTTAAATAGAGCGTCAGCAACTTAGTTTCTATAACTTTCGATATATTGTATCGTTATATTAAAGTTCTTTAGCTCGCAAGCTTATTTTACGTAAATCTTTTCTTATGCTGACTTGAAGTCTAAGAAATGTATTAATAGTTTATAATCGATAAACATTATGCTTGCTTTATTGCATTTCAATATATAGTTGTATTTGCAGCAGAATTCGATTATTATTAGCAGCTCTCTCTTATATGTCTTATATTAGCGTTGTGTTTTCGTTAAAGTAAAGCTATTAAAAAGCAAAAGTACTTCGTCTTCGCTATCTTATATTTAAATGATGCAGCATCTTTTAGCATAAGCACTCGCATTTATGTATACTAGCACCAGTTTATTAAGTATATAGCCGAATCGTTTTAAAGCTTTATTATAAAGGTCTTTTAAGATATTAAAGAATATGCATTCTGCTTCTTTTCACGTTTACGGTTTAATCTACTTCGCTTATAAGCCGATTAAAAAGGCGAGCGATCTTTACGAAGTTTTTAATTTAATTTCTAATAATTTAAATCGATTTTAAAAAGCGTTTTGTCTCTTAAGCATTGCGAAAGGTAAGCTAATCCTTGATGCTTTATGCTCTTTTTTTCTTTATTATTGCTCTTCTATTTGATTTGTATATTACTTTTAGTATTATAACCTTAATTATAAACAAGAAACATTTCTTAAAAGTAAGCTTCAATTGCGACTATAATAAGCGTAGCAACTAGTGTTGTTCTAAAAAAGTAAACGCCTTTTTAAAGTTCTTTGCTTTTAAAAAAACGTCGTCTATATAATATTTCAGCTTTAATAAAGATGCTTCGTTTTCGTCGAGTATAAAAGAGAAAAGTAAAGGTTCCGAGTTATCAAATCCTTCGTTTATTGCTTTTTAAGACTTTAATATCTTTCCGAGTATAATCTTTATTAATTTATTAAATGTGAAAGTCAAGCTTCTTTCTTTTTAAGTTATCCGAATTAGTTATAATTAAAAGTGACTTAATATAAAAAAAGCGTAAATATAGCGGTCGTCGAAGTGGATAGACACCGATTAATACTTATGTTTAAGATCTATTTAAAAAAACACTTTATATTAAAAATAGTTTAAGTATTCGTAGTATTCTTTTAGCTTAATTAATATGTATCTTAAGATCTTTTCCTTTACTTTTAAGTAGTCGAACGTAACTCGGAACTCATTTTTTTCGGGTTTTGATTCTTTCGACTTTTAAATCAAGTTCGAGTAGCTGTTTTAGTTATTCAGCTTTTTATTTGCAAGCATTATGCTCTTAAATATACTATTCTTTATTCTTTCTTTAATCGTTTTGTATAGCTATGCTAGTTTTATAAGTAAGTATCGTCTCGGAACGTTGTCTACTATTAAAGTAGCTTTTTTAAGAACCTTATATCGATAAGTGATAAAGTTTGTATAAAAGAAATCATCGAGTCTTGCGTTATTCACTCTTTAATATATATACATTAAAACTTAAATATCTTTTAACTTGTTTAATAAAATTCTATTTTTAAAAGTAAGTCCGTATTTTATTGCTTACTCTTTTAGTACGGAAGATCTTGGGTCTTTACGTAATAGTCTAATGACTCTTTTCTTTGTCGAGAAGCTTTTTGTTATTAAGTAGACTTTATATAGTCTCGATTAGATCTTTAATATGTTGTTCTTCGTAGTCTTAATGAGTTTTAAAGCTTTGGTCTTTAAGAGTAATGTTTGCAAGTCTTTCTTATCGATTTATATAAAAGTAAATTCTTTAAGTAATGTTTAATAGCATTATATTAAAGTTAAAGTTGAGGTTCTTTATATTATAAAACTATTATTGCATTATTTAAGCTAAAAGGGTTGCTTAATAAAAGTTCTTTTAGCTCGAAAGTGAACTTTTTTTCGTTAAATGAGTTTTACGCTATCGTTAAAGCGGCTTAAGTGACTTAGTTTTCCGAGTCTTTCGAGTCGTTTAAGTTATTTAAATCTAACTTATATTCCGTATTTATTATAAAAAGATCTAACTTTAATAATTCGAACTTTATTATTAAGTTGTCGAAGGACTTCTTAAATTCCTTTTTAAGCTATAAGACTAAGTTAATCCTTTTTAATAGTCCGAAGAAAAAGCATTAGATCACTACTTGCTTCTTTTTTAATACGTTGCTACCGATTATAAGCTTTTTAATTCGAATCTTTAATTTAGCGTTTATTATATGCATTTACGTTAAACTTAATAGCAAGCTCAATTTTATGTCTTTTACTTTTGCGTCTTTTTTAACGAAGACATCGACTTATTTTTATATTCTTTTTACTTTTATTTCGATCGTAACGAATTTTATTAAGTCGTAGACTTTTCCGTCTGCTATGTTAAAGCTGACTCTTTCGTAATTTGCTAATACTAATAATTTAGACTTTAGATTCAGCTTTTTCGCAAAGCTAAAAGACATTAATACGATATTAAAACCTTAATTTATCGCAGTTATTTTTATAAGCAACTTTATCTTAATTGTCTTTTTCTTTATCTTTGTGCGTATGCATGATACTACTCTTTAAGCTTTTTCGTCGAAGTGTATATACAAGCAGATTTAAAATAATATCGATTTAAAGTTTGCTTAGCTTTCGGCTGCTAATATCGTTTGTGTTGGTACACAGGTGTTTGATAGTACTATCAGTTTGGGTATTGGTTGTGTTGTAGATGTCTGGTATTGCTATACTGGTAGTGGCGGTCCCTTAAGGGGACCGCGGGTGCACGTGCCACCCTCACGTGCCAAGTCCACCATTACCTTCATCGTTCCTTTTATTCCTATCCGCTGCATGCCCGTAGAGGCCGTTGTATTCCGACACTGGCAGTTCTTTACTTGTTGTAAGGAACGCTCTAATCTAAATAGCTTTTGTCTAAATTCTCTCGTCCCGAAGTGCTCTCGAACCTGTCAGACCTCTTTGTGTTCGTAGTGTAAGGTATAGTATTTGAAGTCTAAGGTCTGATTGATGAGATTGGACGTATTCCTTTGGCAGATTCCGAGCTTTTTTAAAAAGGGGTTGGAAAGGGGTATTGGCGTAGTATTTTGAAAGTGGCGGAAGTGAGGGGGGTGTTTCGAAGGTGGTATAGTAGGTGGTAGATGTTGCGCAGTTGGCGGAAGAGGTAGCTTCGAAGTAGCGCAAAAGGAGTACTCCGAATGTACCTTGGTCAAAGCTGACAATTCCTTCAATTGCACTTCTTGCTGGTCCAATTGCTGGTCCACTTGCTTGTCTTCTAATTGCTGGTCCACTTGCTGGTCCACTTGTTGGTTCAATTGCTCTTTCAATTGCTGGTCTTCCAATTGCTCCTGGTCCTCTAATTGTATCGCTTCCAATTGTATTGCCTTCACTTGTATCGCTTCTAATTATATCGCCTTCACTTGTATCGCTTCCACTTGCTGGTTTGGCTGAATTGATTGAATTGGTTGGAGTCGCAATCTTTGTTCCTTTAACCAAAGGCGCGCATCTCGAGAATTTGCTTCAAAAAGGCAAGTGCGTCGAAGTTGTTCTGTAAACTATAAGCGCGCGTCCTTTGATTTTGATAGAAAAGGGCAAGTATCGAGGTTTTGCATCTTAGCGTAGCATATAAAAAGTAGCTGATCGAAGCGTGAGGTGTAAAGAAGGTCCGCGGTAGTGTGTCTAAAGCTAGCAGAGAGGTGTGAGGTTCGAATTCGTATATAAGGGAGGGAATTCGTAGTAGTTGAAGGTGAGCGGGTGTAGTAGTAGATCTGCTGGCCTGCTAGCCAAGAAAACAGTTCTCTGAAAAAGGTAAGAATCGTGCTCGCAAGGAGTTGTCCGCTTCTTAGATCTTTCTCGCGTGATAGACGCAATCGATTCCCGTAAAGGTTGTTCGATTCTCGATTCCTGGCCGAAAACCGGTGATAGGTATCGTTAGCACAAGATGAAAGGCGAAGTTAGTGAAAACTCCCTAGACTTAATCTTATCTCTTCTAGACCTTGCGAATCTGTGGTTTATTCAACCACTGATCAGTGTTAGTACACAGGTGTTTGATAGTACTATCAGTTTGGGTATTGGTTGTGTTATAGATGTCTGGTATTGCTATACTAGTAATGGCGGTCCCTTAAAGGGACCGCGGGTGCACGTGCCACCCTCACGTGCCAAGTCCACCATTACCCTCATCGTTCCTTCCATTCCTATCCGCTGCATGCCCGTAGAGGCCGTTGTATTCCGACAGTTTGCGATTTCTCTTTTTTTATATTCTTTTTTGTAAATAACTTCCGGAACTATTTAAATACTTTTAATAATAGCTAAAAGAGCTTTAAAAGATTAATAGTCATCTCGAATTTCGCCGCTAGATCGTTATAATCTATCGGTCCTTTCCTTTTACGGCTTACGATCTTTTTTAACTGTTTTAATTTCTTGCTTTTTGTTTTTATTTTGTCTTTCGTAAGAGCTTTCTTCGAGGCTAGCTTCTTAGCGTTTTGCTTAACGACTTCGATAGTATTTATATCATTTAATGCTCTTATTACTTTTTATTTCTTTTTCGATCTATTATTTGCTATCTTTATATAGATATTCGTAGCGTCTTTTTTATTTGAAATAGCTACTTTATACTTAAGATCTTTAACGCTTTTTATTTTACATTCGGTATTAATCTTAATAGTTTCGTCGAGTATTTCTTTTATCGAAGCTATTTTATAGCTATCCGTGTATTATTAAAAGGATATACTTATAGTACTTATTAGTGTGTTTATCTTTAAAGTAAAGGCATTAGAGCTTAAACTAAATAAAGATAGCCTTTCGCTAATGATCTTAAGATAATATGCTATAACCGTTTTCTTTAAGTAACAGATTCTTTTAAAATAAGCCTTTTCTTAGTCTTAAAGTTAAGCATTAAAGCAAGTTATTTTTAAGTGGCCGGTTTGTTTATAGCTTATGCATAAAAGTTTATCTTTCCATTTATTATAGATTTTCGACTTATTAATAAACTAGTTTTTAGATTTAAATGCTAATCGAAGTAATGCAAAAAGCGGATCGTTTAAAAGTAGTAAGCGTAAAAGCAGTTGCTATTTAATTTATCTATTAATGATTAAGTTGCTTTAAGTCTAAGAGTTTATGTACTTGCTTTAGTAGTTCGGTCTTTAATTGTTTCTTTAATATTTACCTTGTCTTTATGCTTAAAGAAAAAAGGCATTCTATTATAAAGTTATTAAGTTTTTATCTTGTTTTGATTTTAAGATGCGTTAAGTTGGCTTTATAAGTTGAGCGAGCAATTTTAAGTTAGAGCTTGATAAGGCGGCGACGTATAAAGTGTTTTAAAAAGATGCTAAAGCTATTTGTGCTAAGACTTCGGCATAATGCTCGATATACTTTTACATTCTCTCGTATATCTTAATCTTTTTTATATTCGATTTAATTTTCTTTTATGTTTTGAGTGCACTTTAAAAGAAAACGAAAGTTTCGTATGCTTTTT